AAAAAAGGAAAAAAAAAAAAAAAAAAAAAACTATGAACTTACTTAATGTATCAATATTGGCTTATCAATTGCAACAAATGTACCACACCAATATGCAAGAGGTTAATAACAGGGGAAGAAAAGAAGTATAAGGTGGTATATGGGAACTTTCTTTACTTTTAACTCAATTCTTCTTTAAACCTAAACTGTTCAAAACAATAAAGCCTATTTTTTTTCCAAAAAAAAGGTCATTGTAATCATATTAGTAAGAATTTTGTATTATGGTTTTTTTTCACTGAACATTGTGCTAGGAGTACTTTCCAAATAGTCCTTATAACTATCATTTATAATGAATATAATTACTACACTATAATGTAATAATTTTCTTATTATGTGACATTTAAGATAATTCCAAACTTTTGTTATTATAAAATATTTCTGGCATGAATATAAAGCTTTTTTTCTATATGTATATATTTTTCCATAGTTAGAATTACCAGTTTCCTAAAAGTGAAATTACTGAGTCAAAGCATCATCTACAAATTTTGCTGTTATTTACACAGACACAGAGAGAGACTACAACCTGCAAGATTCCATCCCTATCCCAAACCCACTTCTCAGATATATAGATTGTTATACACATATTTTTTCCCAACATTTTATGAACATTTTCAAAGAGGATAAGGAGAAAACTGAAAAATTAAATTAAAAATGACACTTTCCTTATATTTTTCCTTTCTCAAATGCCACATATTAATATTTTAAATGTATGAGGGCACTTCAAAAAGTTCGTGGAAAGATTCATATTATTTTGTCATNGGTAATTTTGATTGGCTCTGAAACTGTGACAACTTATTGATGAGATTCCATATACCAATCCAGCCTACCAGAGTCTTACATATATTCCTTAAAAACTCTTGAAAGAGTTTCTAGATAAGAAAATGGAGAAAGAGAAAGACTAAATGACTTATCCAAGGTCACACAGCCAAGTAAACGAAAAAGGTAAATTTTGGTCCTAAAAATTTGGCTTTTAGGCTCTTTTTTTTCCTCTTTTTTTTTTTTTTGCTTGGCACTAAAACTTAAGTTCTTGCCACAAGAACAAAGAGACCCCCTACCCACCTGATATACATGGCAGAAAACATCTCAGCCTACCTTTCTACTTCTGGACGAAGTGCCTTCTCCCTCTCAAGCATGGCAATAATGAGTTTCCCCCACTCTTTTTCTATGTCATTTGGATGATAACCTTGAAGAAGTTTGATGCGTCCAAATTCTATCCAAATCTGGAGAAAATGAATTTAATGTGAAACAAAGTTGTAAAAAAAAAACCCAGAAAGATTATGCATGACAACACAAAGGAAATTTTAGCTTACCTCTAATAATCTGTATAGGCGTTTAATTTTTGATTTTTCTGTCTCCTTTGGTGGAATTTCTGTTTCCTTAAACT